CCAGATTTAAAGTGAGGGGGTGGAAAAACATTTACCATGCTAATGGACATCAAAAGAAAGCTCGGGTGGCAATCCTTGTATCAGACAAATTAGATTTTAAACCAAAGACTATAATAAGAGAGGAGCATTCTATTTGTTTTCATGGTTACCATGGAGCTGGGGTGGAGAGGTGGGAATAAAAATGCCACCAAGCTTTCTGTCCTTACTGAAAGGCAGTCTTCTTAGGAAAATGTTCCCAACATTATTGCAAGTCTTTGCTTAATTTTCAAATTTCTGAAAAAGTTGATTTGAGAACTTTTGCCAGTTTTCTCATTGCTGTGATGGAGAAGATTTTTGGAGATTCCTAGTCTGCCATTTCACTGATGTCACCTTTTGGTTCTTTTTTTCTATGTCTTTGGTGAGATTTTCTAATTTTTCATTTGTTTTAAGAACATCGGTTACTGCTCTCTCAAGCATTTTTATAATGATTCCTTTAAAATCTTTGCTAGATCATGGGACGCCTGGGTGGCTCAGTTGGTTAAGTGTCCAACTCTTGGTTTCGGCTCTAGTCATAATCTCAGGGTCCTGAGATCCAGCCACATCCAGCTGTCATGGGCATGGGGGCTCCCTACTCAGCGGGGAGTCTGCTTCTCCCTCTGCCCTTCCCCCACAGGTACAGGCACGGTGCTCTCTCTGTCTCTCAAATAATAAGTAAATCTTAAAAAAAATAAAATCTTTGTCAGATCATTCCAACATCTGGTTTATCTCCATGTTAATATCTCGATAGTCTTTTCTAATTCAGCTTGCTGTTTTCCTGATTCTTGCTCTGACAAGTGAGTTTTTATTGTATCATGGACATTCTGAGTATTATGTTAGGAAACTTTGTATCCTATTTAAGTCTTCTACTTTAGCAAGCAGTCACCATGCTTAGACTTAGCTGTAGGTAGTAGCATACTATTTTGGGCTTTCTTTCCAATGATAATTTAGGTTCCAGAGCCCTTGCAGTGCTATTCTGGTCTGCTTTGTTTACCTGGTGCTGCTTTTTTCCTCTAGTGCCTGCTTGATCCCTTCTAAAGGTGGAGTGTTAGTAATCAACGTGTGAATATTTTTAAAGTTATAAGATTGATTGAGCTCACAAAAGAAATTAATGTAGATAGAGAAGACCAGTCATTGTGCCCTGGGGTACTCCAGCATTAGGGGATTGAGTGTACAGGAAGAACCAATAAAGGACACTAAGAAGTATTCTCAGGTAGAAGAAAAACCAGGTTTAAGGGAAAAGGAGGAAAGTGATCAACTGTGTCAAATTTTGCTCATGAAGTAGGATGAGAACAGAGAGTTAACCATTGGATTTGGTAACATGGATGTGTTTGGTGGCTGGAATGGGTCTAAGAGAGAATGGGAGGGACAGTGAGCATCAACAACTCCTTTGAGAAATTTTACTGCAGATACGAACAAGGAAAGAGGATAGTAACGTGAGGAAGTGAGGTCTAGAGAAGTTTGTTAATAAGTGGGAGAACTAATAGCATTTTTTTATGATGAATCATGTGGTAGTGAGCAAGATTTTCATGATAAGGAAACGAGAATTGATGAATCAGGGTCCTTCAGTAAATAAGATGATATCGGATCTATTGCACAAATGAAGATATTTAGTTAGGAGTGTAGATACTGTGGTAATGAGTGGTAGGTGGTGTAATGCAAGTCTGATCCTAATCAGAATTAGCACAGACTTCACAGAGTAAGGGAATAGTCCTTCATGAAACTCCGCTTATTTCAGACACCAACTGAAAGCTCTGGGATTCTTGGCCCACCTGTGCTTCTGATCAACTGGCTATAAATTTGTGGGTTCCTATTAACCCCCTCAAGTTTAATAATTCACTAGAATGACTCACAGAACTCAGGAAAGCACTATACTTACAATTATTGTTTTATTATAAAGGGTACGAATTCGGAACAGCCAAAAGAGACCCACAGGGTAAGGTCTGGGAAGGTCCCAAATGCAGAGTTTCCATGTTTTCCTCCTGTGAAATCAGGGCATGCCACCCTCCCAGCACATTAATGTGTTCACCAACCAGGAAGCTCAACCAAGCTTCAGTGTCCAGAGTTTTTTTTTTTTTTTTTAAGATTTTATTTATTTTTTTGTCAGAGAGAGAGAGCACAAGCAGGGGTAGTGGCAGGCAGAGCAGGTAGAGGAAGAAGCAGGTTCTCTGCCAAGCAAGGAGCCCAATGTGGGACTCGATCCCAGGACCCTGGGATCATGACCTGAGCCGAAGGCAGATGCTTAAGCAACTGAGCCAAGTGTCCAGAGTTTTTTTAAATTGGGTTTCATTATCTAGGTATGGTTAATTGAATCATTAACTGTGTGAGGGACCTCAGTGTCCAGCCCCATCTCCTTGGAGGTCAGGTTGATATCATATGGCTTAAAGCCCCACCCCTCTAGTCACATGGTAGGTTATTCCAGCATGGCCCACCGGTATACTGCAACTATCTAGGGGCCTACCATGAGTCACCTCATTAGCATAAATTCAGGTGTGGTCCTAGGGGCCCACCATCAATAACAAAGATACTCCTGTCACTCAGGAAAGTCCAAGTTAGTACCTTCCTCTCAGGAACCCTAGACAAAGTTCAGGCAAATTCTTCATTATGTAACACGTGGGAACTGTAATTGCAGTAGTTCCAGAAAGAGGTGATGGTGGCCTTGACTAGAGTATTAGAAGAAGGTATAGTTAGAAATTGTCAGATTCAAGAAATGTTTTGAAAGTAGAGGTGACAGAACTCAGGGATGGATTAGATGTGAGATATGAATGAGAGGAGCTTATGATGATTACAAAGAAGTTTGCTTGAGCCGTTGGATGAAAGCAGTTTACATTTACTGGGATGTGAAAGATTGGGGCAGAAAGAGTGTTGGGGTAAAAGTCAAGAGGGTTTTTCAAAATGTTAATTTATATATATCTGTTAGACTTTTTTTTATTTTAAAGATTTTATTTATCTGAGAGCATGGCGGGGAGAGGCAGAGAGAGAGGGAGAAGCAGACTCCCCGGTGACAGCCCAATGTGGGTGGATCTCAGGACCTGGAGATCATAACCTGAGCTGAAGTTAGATGCATAACCAGCTGAACCACCCAGGCGCCCCATATATCTCTTAGGCTTTCAAGTGAAAATGTCAGGTAGGAAAGCATGTTTCAGTTCAATGGGATGTTTCCCATTGAAAATGTGCATTTGGAAGTTGTTAGGTTATAGAGCCTATTTAAAGCCATGAAATTGGATGACATCAGCTATGATATGGACTCAGTGTTGGTTGTGAATAGTTAGAAGAAATGTGAAGATTTGAGCCTTTTGGGATACTACCCCCCCGTTGGGAAGATGAGGAAGAATGAATAAAAGGAGACTGAAACAGAGTTACGAAAGCCAGGGATGTGTCTTTTCATTGAAACACAAAGACAAAAGTTATTTTACTTATACAAATAATTCTTACATATTGACATTGCCAGATATTAGCTGCTTATATATAACAGATGTTTTTCCTGATTTGTTGTCTTTTGATTTTGTGTTGTTTTTATTTCATTTATTTGTCAGTATAGACATTGAAAATTTTATGTGGTCAGACTTACTGGGTTTTAAAATTTATAGCCTCAAGGTTTTGTTAGTATTTCAACTTCAAAATCGTAAAGTTTTATATTTTACAATGTTTTATATCTTTATATTTCCTTATTTGGTAATATTAATATATTGACATAAAAAGGAAGGTAGGGATCAAACTTTATTTTTATCCAAATTGCTAGACTTTTACAGCTTTAGGATTAGGGGTGAAAGCCCATTAGATTATTGGAGGAGGTGATAAAGCAGCAATGCCAGTTGGAGGAATCTTTTAAGGTTTGCTATATATTAATAAGTGTGGTGTATTTTATGAGATTCTTTTACTAGTTGGTAAGAAAATGGAGAAAAATGCTGTCTAGTTAGCTTATTTTGCAAACACATAAAATTGAAAGAATTCTGGTCTTGAAGAAATGAGGCCAGAATTTAATTCCTAGCTTTACTCAGTATAATCATAGGCAAGTCATTTAGTTGCCTGTGCTTTTATTTCATCTGTTAAATGGATTTTTTCCTTAGCTTTAGTTCTTTTGTAAGATCAACTAATATAATGCTTGTGATGATGTTATTTAAACCATAAGGTGGAATACAAGTATGGGGGTGCAGCTGGGTGGCTCAATTGGTTAAGTGTCCAACTCTTGATTTCATCAGGTCATGATCTTGGGGTCATGTGATCAAGCCCCACGTTGGGCTCTGTGCTCAGCACTCAGCAGAGTCCGCTTGTCTCTCTCCCTCCCCTTCTGCTCCTCCCCCCCCCAAATAAATAAATAAAATCTTTAAAAATGAACAAACAAACTAATGGGGTACTGACTTTGGTATTTGGTAATAGGATAAAATGTTTCCTAGTGACAGTACATACTGCATCCACTCTGAACAGATGAATGGTAACTCACCAAGAAAATAATATATTGGATTTCATATAAGCTGCCACTATTGGCATTAATCTGTAGACAGAATTCTGCCCGTCTATGTTGTTTGTTTCCTCTCTTTGTTTCAGTTGCTGATTGTTGGAGGCTCTTTTGGTCTTCGTGAATTTTCACAAATCCGCTATGATGCTGTGAAAATTAAGGTAAGGACTGTAATTGGAGTTTGACATGTGTCTGTGTATACGATTGTTCCGGTTTAGGTATGTATACTTGATGTACTAAGCAGTCTGAGTTTTGTTTAATTTTTCAAGGGGTTGTATGATTTTCTTATTCTTTAAGACAACATGAATGATCATATGGAAGTGAATCATGAAATGTAAAGAATTTAGTTATCTTATTCCTAGAAAATTTGCAATACTGCATTCTCAGTAGAGTTTTTTTTAGGATTTAAAAGGGACTGAAGAATGTTGGACAATTTCACTCCCATTATATTACTCCAATTATAAATTAGCTATTTCATATTAATACCAGTAATTTTATAAATTATATTGATATATAAAGTCTACTGATATACTGAAGGAAAGGAAAATTATTTTTCATTACAAATAATGATACTTATCTTTTTAGGTAGATAATATATATTTATATATTGTATATAAAGCTATATACCTATATCTAAATATATGTAAAATTTATTTTACAAGTGAGGAAACTGAGGTTCAGATAGCTTCAGTAACTAACCTGTGGTTACATGGCTATTTAGAGGTAGTGCTAGGATTTTCACTCTCTTTGATTATAGTTACAAATTTAGGCCAAGTGTTACATAAGAACTCTAGTTAAGTAACTGATTAATTCATTCAGAAGTATGTAGTTTTTGTTTGTGGCCACACTGATATTTGAGTTTTTTCCCAAGTTTTATTTATATATAAAACATATATACATATATATAATTTTTTTTTTAAGATTTTTTATTTATTTATTTGACAGAGAGAGACACAGCGAGAGAGGGAACACAAGCAGGGGGA